AAGGCACCAGTTATATCGATTACATAGTAAATGATGACGGAAACTTTTGAAAAATTATAAAATCAGGTGATAATCTAAACATATTTTTATTAATTGTTGATTACTCTATGACATGGCACGCACAATGAGGACAACCGGCACCCCACGATTTTAATTATGACTCATTTTATTTTTAATAATGAATATAAGCAGAGGTCATTTAGCTAGCAATTGTAAGCAGCAAAAGAGAACGTGCGTAATAGTTGCAGTAATATTTAAAATCTCAGAGCTCTTTGCTTTAATTCTGCACAGGAATTGTTTAAGAGTTTTCCAGGAATTGGGAATTGGGCAGTTACTGCAGAAAAACTGCAAACACCTTGAAGGAGGTCTGCTTATTTCAGAATTCGAAATTTAAGGGTCCTTTAACAATATGTTCAAATTAAGTTTAATTTATTAACAAATTTTCGTCATATTTTTATACCTTACACACACATATATATATATATATGTGTGTGTGTAAGGTATATTAAAATATATATATATATATATCTGTGTCATACTTTTTAAGGTGTACAGTTTCTGTAATTTCATAAAATTATTTAATAATTTTATTAATAAATCAAAAATACACTAATTTAATCATTTGTTCTAGTTCAATGAGATTTTAGTTGACTAAAGTTGAGTTACTAAGTTGACTGACTACTGCTGACTAAAGTTGACTAAAACTTTAGTTGTATTAGAAATTATACAGTTACTTATAGTGAATAAAATACTGCTCGTTGTATAATTTTTAATATAAAAGCTACTCTTAATTGTACTTCGAAAATAACTGTAATAAAGAAAAATGTTTTAAAGCATTTTATTTTTCAGTGAAATCATATTTAACAATTAAAAACAGAACATAGGATGTGGCTATAAACTTATGCATTTTGCAACGCAATGATTTTGAATCACTAAGTGTTATGACTAAATTTGAAAGATAACTACTTCACGCTTTGCCAAATGGTAGCAGGGTCAGGCTGGCGTATAGTACTAAAATTGTTTTGTTTCTGGCAGTAGCAAAACCTCGCTCTTAAATGATTGATTTTATTAATCGAAAATTTATTAAGTTTGCATTTAAAAAAAAAATCGGAACCAAAAATTTGGCGTCGGCGTATGCATGTTCGGGTGTAGGATTACGCGTATATGAGATCTAGTAGTGAAATTTGATAATTTGGAAAACTGAGTTCCATACTGCAATGAAGAAACGTAGATTATACTTTTATAAATAAAAGAAACTCCACAATATGTGTTATGTTTTAAAAAAAAAGCATTTAAACAGAATTTGTTTTATTCAGATAAAAAATATTTTATATTTTAACTGTTATCTTTTTTTTTTTAACTTAAAAAGATAAATGAAAATATAACGTTTTAAATTCGCTAGCATGCTTCATGAAAATGGTCCACACACTGAATGAATTACCCTGTTATTCCGAACTTTGGGTTAATTTGAATTCTATTGTATCACATTGTTTTACGCCTCATATCAGCCACCGCAGTTTTATATTAATTTATCTTTAGTGAATAGTAAGTGCACACACAAACGTACGCACACGTAGATGACAAAGTTTCATGTAATCATTTTCCTGAACTATGAGCTACAGCAACTAAACATTCTTATTACTAGACGTGCTAAGACAACATAAACCCGCGTAATGTTCATTCTTGCTACTTCAGCTCCTCCAGTAATCGTTAGCTGGTGTATTTTGTTTAAATCATAACTAAAAATTCGTTTTACAAAGAGACATAGAAAATAAATTGTATCCTCCTCCAAGATTTAAACTACTGAAATTCCTTTTGCTAGTTTTCTATTACTAACTCCTTACACCACAGTAACACGCACTATGGAATTCAATGAATTAACTACTTACATTCATCTCCACTGAATAGGTACTGGGGAAAGCAGCGATACTCAGTATAACAAATTTTGGCGGCAATGAATTATCATTGGCCGCATTTTAATTTTTGTGCTATTGTAGAGATTATTAATTATTTTGCATCAGAACGGGGGAAAATGGAAAATCACTTGTGTCTTCTCTGGGATTCAAAACACAGATCTTTTACTTAGCTGGGTGTGTTAACTACTTACACCGCGAGAACACATATAGGGAATCCTATTCCATACAATTTTATATTTTACTGCATTTTAGGGAAAATCTGTTAGTTTTAATTTGTCTGTTCATTTGTCAGTTTTTAAATTCGAAATCTCATTTAGTTTAAGAATTCTTATTTAAATAATTTTAATTAATTTGATTGAGAAGGAATTCTAAATTAATTTTCTTCTGCCAGACACGTTTTAAATCATATTAAATGTTCGAAGATTGAAATAGCAGGATGTTTTAACAACTAGGCTGGTTAAAAATAAACCTTACTTTAAATTATGTGATGGCAATTTCTTTAAACTGCTGGCTCATCCGAATCAGCTGTAACTGCAATTTAACGCTCACAGAGAAGCGTTTCGCTAAATACAATGTTAAGGCTCTTTCTTAAACTCGAATACATGGAATATATTTAATGGATTAGGATATATTTAATGATAAAACGTAAAATATCTTTAATGAACTCCGTTTTAGAATATTTAGTATGTCAAACATTATATGATATGTTAAACCAAATCAATAACGATAATGTATGTAAAGTTGTAAAAACGGAATGTGTGTTTACATTTAAAAACTTAAAAATTAAAATAAAATAAGAGTAGAAATAAAAATTAGTGCAATGTACCTATTTCTGCATGTTTGATAGTTTAAAAATCGGCTGAAAATGTAAAGGATGTTACAAGCTTATTTTTGCACTGGGAAGTGGCTTTCGAGGGAGCAAGTAATGACACTTAGCGCTCGAGGGCGCTTTCTTTAAAGTGAAGCATCTGAGAATTCTCTCCGATAAAATTTTTCTGGTAACTGACGCTGTTAAAATCGGTGTTATTTCGCTTCAAGGAACTGCTTTCCTAACAGGAAATGTACGGAAGTTTTTCCACTAGAAAAAATGCTTGACTGTTTTCCCAACATCTTAAATTAGATAACTCGTGAATAGTTGCATGTCAAATTTATTTGCCAGTTCATTTTGTGTAATTAAACTACTGGCCCTTTTGAAATGAAAATACGAAAATACAGCTGGTTGGTATGTTTCTTTAATATGACAAAGCACGCGACGAGTGATACCTACGGGATGAATGTCTTCGTGGAAAACCTTTCAAAGAAAAACTGTCTCGCATTTACATTACACATGGAAATAAACACTAAACAAATATAACCATTCAGTTTACTTGAATTATCAGTATTAAGCCACTTTATTGCTCTGCCGCTGGTGAGTCAACACGTGTGGTGTTCAGAATACGGTAGAATTTTCAGATATTGGAACCATTTCTTTACGCTATCTTTGCTATCGAAGGATTTTTATCTATGCCACCTGCTAAATGTTGCCAATCTAGTAAACATAAAAATTTTCAATTTCACTTCCATGTGGCATCTCATACTTTTACTCATTATTGCTGTTACAAAAGTACATCAGATATAGTGGAGTCTTGGATCATGAACGCTTTACTTCACGGAAAAAGTATCTGAACAAGGAAAGCTTCAGATGACGAATGGTGTCTCGTTTATCAACACTCAGGTCAACAAAAAAAAACTTTTAAAACTGTTTTGAAGTAACTTGTATCACATAATTAACAACCAGGGACTTCTGGAAACATCATTTTAATATTTTCTGTTTTTTAAACCTTATTAACAAAGTCTGGCAGCAAGTGACTTTGTATAGTATATTTTGGGTTTGAAGTAGTTTTTTAAGCCCCTGAATTATGCCTGCGAGAAGTTATACTCAGATTGGGTTGCAGACATGACTTTGAGCGCCTTGACATTTAAAACACTTGTTTGGTTGTCTACGGTATTGTGTCTCTAGGAAAAAGATGGGCTAGGAAGTTGGCAATGAAAACGTGGAGAACTTACTAGAGGATCATAAAAATGACCTCAACTTGAAAGAAATACAACTTCAGAAGGAACTACAAAACGTGATTTTGGAAGACGTGTCTTCAGAAGAAGATAAGAAAGAAAAATTACCTTAGTTCTCGAATCAACAACAACAAACTCTTATAACCACTCCTGCTACTGAAAGCAACTGCGGCGTTTTGTAATGATTGCTTAGTTCTCGGATCAGCGAAATTTATGTAAAACGGTTCAAAATACAAAGTTTTCACATACATATTTCACTCTTATGGAACTATTGCAAGCTACAGCATAAGCACTTTCAATGACGATGTCATGTCCCACTTTAGAAACATTCTGAAACATGGACAACAACAAACTACAATGGGTCAAATTTTGAGCGAAACAGAAGCCCAGTGAATCTTAAGTAGAGTAGCTCTTAGTGACAAAGAAAAGATTTAAAAGTTTTCTGCTATAACCATTTACCTGATGTTTTTCATGAAAGAGATTTTCAAACCCAAACTATAAAATCTAAGAGCGTGAGTGGAAAATGTCTCACCAGTTTTCACTTACGCTGTCCTTTCAGGTACAGTAAAGTGAAGTTTTCCGCAATATTATCTGTCTTATATTGTGGCAATATTATCTGCCTTATATCGTGTGTCTTTTTTGTTTTACATTTAATGCTTTGTACTAGTTTCGGTTTATAAGCATTTGCACAATGCACTATTATAAAGTTCAAAAAGATGTCATCTGGGGTCTAGGAATCAATTCATCCTTTTTACATTAATTCCTATTAGGAAAATTATGTCGGTTTACGAGCCAACGAGCACATTTGCGACGGTTTTCAGGGGCGAATTAAATTGTGAACCGAGGTTTCACTATACTTCAATTAAATTTGAATTGATATTATGTAATTTCAGTTTATTCCATTGAAATACCGTGCTATATAACACAAAGTATATTAAGAGGACTGAAATAAATAAGAGTTACTTGTATGTATTATAAGCACTTACGTCAATAAAAATCACAATGAACTATACAAATTAATTTTCTTATTTTTAGCAACCCATTTAGTTCCTACTCCTGGTCCCGTCCGCAGATCGACAGTTCAAAGAATGGCAGCAGCTGACCATTCAGAAACCAAATCAACAAGAGACATCACCCTTAGTAGACCAGACAGTTATCAGCTGACAACTAGGCCGACGGTTGCTACTCCTGTTGCTCTAGGTATGAATAATTTTTATTTCTTTAATATAAAAAGAAAGAAAACTTCCTGTAAATTCACTCAGTAACCAAAACGTTTATTCTGATTATTTTAAGTTAACATAAATTACTGTAGAATTGTATAGTCTGTTACTTCAAAATTGGAGCTTTAAGTTCATAACGCTCCGTTCCCCAGTTTATATTCGTCATTTTCATCATTTACCTTTACTTATTCATTTGAAACTAATGCAGTCGTACCTTGGTATTCGTCATTAATCCGTTCTAGACCCTTGGACGTATACAAAACGCAATCCTGTAAAAATAAAGTTATCAATCCGTTCTTCAAAACAATATTACTATTATAATAACACTGCTTAATACTCAAATAGCAATGCAGTGAGTGAAATATATACACTAAACCCTTGCCGAAAGCAGGGTTTGCGTCATAAACACATTGCTCATATGGTAAAATCGCATTCCGCAAAATTAACTTTCTTTGGAGGGAAAAAAAAAAAAAAAAAACGCGTGGTGTCGTATACGTAAGATTAAGGAAGTACGTATAACTTGTCAGGACTTCTGTTTCTTCTAATATTCTTTGCGAACATCATTGGAATCCTGAGTAGGAACAGGGAGTTTACTTAAAACTATGTCCGTGTGAGTGGGTAGAAGATACGACAAAAATGGGATGAGTGAAATTAACCTTTATTTCTCACAGCGTGCAGCCGATCCTTACTTCGGGATACAAAGAAACTTCTTATGTTCTGAACTTACTTATGTTCTGAAACTTAAAAAAATAAGAAGAAACTAAATTAAATAACTAAATTAAATAATAATAATAACTAAACTAAATAATAATAATAAATAGATACTTTACAAAGACTAGTAACGCGAAGATTGGCCTTTTAAACTCTACGCATGTAGTGAGCAATATGCGGGAAACTACAATGCGTCTTCAAGTATCAAAGAGAACTAAGTTCTGGTCTTAAAGGCAGACAGGAACTGACTGAAAAGCGTGCGCGTGGTAAGGCAGCGAGAAGTCTCTTTCTAACTCTGTATTGGCTAAAAGCCATGTCTTAAGTACTTAACAGTTTGCAAGCACAGTTTGCATAACCAAATTTGTTCGCATTTATTCAGGCTGGAAATGGGAAAAAAGACAGGATAGCAAAGTTTCAAAATAAAATAAGCGTGTGTAAAACTTAAAATCCTTACAAATTTATGAAAACTAAATATTATAGTTAACTAAAAGGGGAAATGAAATAAATGTTAATAAAACTATTTATTACTGCTTAATAAATACCAAATGATACCTTTTTTGGAAAAAGCTGAACATTTTTTCTTAAGCCAATGTCTAACAAACTCATTACACGTTTCGCGGTTAAGGAAGGCAAGGTTTTTCAATACATCCCATAACCTTTCTTCTTCTTTCTTCATTTGTGTCAATCTCCATTGTAAAATCATATAATTCCTATACCGTTTCTAACAAGTCGTTTAATTGCTTATATGTTAAGACTCTTTCTCTTCACTATCGTCGCTTTCACCGTCAGCTGGTGTTATAAAACTATCCAAGTCTTTATTTGTCATTTCACTGATCGTCATTATAGACTAATTCTTTGATTTCTCCTTCTTCTATATTTGAAAATTCTTCGCTACCTATTGCTTTTGAAATTTGTACAATTTCCTTGACTTCATTTTCAATCCATGGACATCCTTTAAAATTCTTGACAATTTCTGGCTAGCGTGATATCAGCAAGAATTCATGAAGAATTGCCTTGTTCCCATGCAAGTTTAATCATTTCCATGCAGCGTTTTATGTTTAGTTGCTTCCAAAATGTATAGTGTGTCGGATCTTAACAAATTTATTCGTTGCTTGACTCTTCTCATCAACTTTCCTGAAATTCATTATTAAGGAATTTGCAAAACACTTGCTACATACACACACAATCGAATAAGCACAACATAGTATAAGCACACCATTATATGACGGGTTACTTATTGAATAGTAACAACAGACATATTGACGGTGATTGGCAGTTGTACAACGTTTAGCGCGAGCAATCTTGACTCATCAAATTCAAGTTGTATTCCAATTAAATATCGTATACCAAGCAAAAATGTCATTATCCAAACAGCACGTATACTAACTTGGATATATTTCAAAGAGGATATATCCTAAGGTACCGTATATAATTAGAGGTCATCCATTTTCTATTTTCGCAGACTAATGTCCGATTTCCTTCATATATTTACATATGTGACTACCAACTAGCGTATGCGGGTGTACTCCAACTGCGCAAATGAAAATCCCCCCCGGGTCCTGCTATAGTCCAACTGCGCCAATCAAAGTTTCTTCCCCCTGTTGCCTATAGGGTTACAATTTAACATTTCGAAGCCAATCGTAGCCAAGAGGAAAATAAAATAAAAAGATAGAAATACATATCACAAGAACAAGTAAAAAAAATATCTAATAAGCAGGCTAATTACTTCAATAACAGTAATAAATGCGAGATCTAACAAAGAAAGTAAAATGTATTGGTAAACATACACATTAGCATTACAAGCATCTTTCATTTATTATAATAATATGATAAATTAAATAATTATAAAGCATGCCAATTATATTTTTTATAAATTACATCAATAATAGTCAAGTTGTCTGAACTAGACTGGAAAATTTATTAGAGTCCACTGGCGTGCAAAAGATTATTTTATATCAAAGTGTGTTAAAAATATTTTTGTTAATTAAAGTAATCATGTAAATGTTTGCAGAAATTAATAGTTAAATTTTAAAAAAGCTTAGCGTGAAATCTATTATAACAACATTACTATGCGTTTGGAAAACTGACGTATAAATTGTAAATACATTTAAATTATTATGCTTAGAAGTTTTTTCAAAAATTTACCTAGAAGAAAGGAATTAGATAAACAGTACTGCAAATTAATATAATCAATCAGGTCTCTCAATAAATAAAAGTTTATTTTTTTAACCAAAAATTAAAAAATGGAATGCAAAAATTTGTGTAATATACTTGCAAATATCTGAACATATAATTAATTAGAAATGTATAATTAAATTAATAACAAGCTAATTAACAGTAACATTAAGCTTAATTTCATTCAATCTAAAACAAGCAATCGATCAGGACCTCCACATAACTGAAGTTTTGTTGCTATTTTACGTAGATTTGCGTATAAAATAAATATTTGCACTTGTGAAACAAGTGAATAATGTACTGATAGTCAACAGGAATTAAAATACAGTCGTTAAACATATAACTGCTTGTCAGAAGGTAGGCAAAGTTGCCATAGTTAGAGAAATTGAATGATTATAGAAAAATCATAAAGTTAAGCGCTACAGTGTGAAATGAAAATTCTGGAATAAACATGTTAAGATAATTAGATGGAGAAATAATCATTAATTTATTGATATCCATATAAACTCTATGCTTTTGGAAAACGTTACATATAATTTGCACCGAGGAATCAACCACCGAAAACGAGTTAATTTCTTTCCTTATTTTTTCTTATTAGAGAGATTTGTACACAGGTAAAGAATAAATTAAAAAGTATTTTTACTTCATAAGCTGAAATTTTTGCGATACATTTTTACACAGTAAATAAATACAAAAAAAAAAGTGCTGGGAGTTCTCTGGGATTGGAAACTCGGGTCGAACTATTACTGTTTAGTGACTTTTCCGTTTGATCATAAGACCTTTTGAAATTAGGCTGAACAATATATTAAGGAAAATAGAAGATACAGCACAGATAAGAACAAAAGCGAGATGAATTAGAGATTTACATGTTTGGGGAATGAGTTAAAATTATCTGTATGCCATTATGAAATATTAGGAATGTAGCATAAAAGCCTCAGTGAAGAAGGCAATGGCAAACTAAATCATTGTAATCTAAATGTATAACATTATCAGTATCTGCTATTAATTTCAATACTACTGAAAAAATTATAAATGAATTATATTATAAATCACATGAACTCGTTGTATTATAAATTACAACAGTTAGAAATTAGCTTAATTTAGCGACCATTTTTGTTAACAAATAATTCAAATAATTAATTTTACAAATAATTCAGCCTGAAACTAGGTTGGAAAATGAGCTGCGTGCTGAAGATTAAATTTTACCGAAGTGTTAGAAACATCTTCTCTTAACTAGAGTTATGATGCGAGAATTTGTAAACATTATCATTTAAATATAAATTGGCATAAATACAATACAAAATATATAAATTCTACATACATAAAAACTTGAATACAGTGCAATAATATGTGAAAAAGGAATGGATTAAAAGGGAATTCAAAGTCCCAAGATATAAATATAAAGGAGTTCAAGTTTTTTTTTTTTTTTTTTTTTTTTTTTTTTTTTTTGTTAATTTTGAAAATTTAGCAGACGCTCATAATTATGAATTTATTAATTCAATGTGCATTAGAAATTAAATGCATGCCAAAGTACATCAGGTAGAATAACTGGAAAACAGAATAAATATTTAAACGTTTCTAGTATTAAAATATGGAATTTGTAAGTATGTTAAATAACCTTAAAATAACTTCAGTGACTAAAAATGGAAATCTTACTACGGCAATATATTGCAATAATATTAGTGTGAATTTAGAACCACTTAAGAAATCCAATTTTTAGATTTAATAAAGAGAATTGTTTAAATTAAATTAGAACTGTTTACCTAAAATGGTAAATTTGAAAGTTAAAACCATTCTGCTATCTAAGAAGATTTGTTAATATTTATCTAGACAAGAAAAACCATTCTGCTATCTAAGAAGATTTGTTAATATTTATATAGACTAATATATATATATATATATATATATATCAGCGACTAAAATCTACAACTTGGAAAGTTTTTAATTCTTACAGAGAATAAAAACGATCTGGCTCATCATTCTTTTAAGCATCATAAAACTTTACAATGAGTGTAAAAGAAATTCATTTGTAATTTAGCACACGCCAGACTTTAAATTAATATTTGCTTTGTATGTACAATTTTTACAATATTT